CCATGCATATATATTCTACACTTCTGTTCATTCTACCAATTCCTCCAACCATCTTTCCATCCATCCATGCATATATATTCTACACTTCTGTTCATCCTACCAATTCCTCCAACCATCTTTCCATCCATCCATGTATATATATTCTACACTTCTGTTCACCCTACCAATTCCTCCAACMATCCTTCCATCCATCCATGCATATATATTCTACACTTCTGTTCAACCTACCAATTCCTCCATCCATCTTTCCACTGTCGTCAGCATTATACAGTAGACTGCATCATAAAACCTGCATTAGGGTCTATCCCACATACACTATCTGTTCATCCTACTAATTTCCATCTTTCAATACGTTCATCTATCTATCCCACTTACACTGTGACCATTCTACCTACTCTTCTTTGCGTCATAATTTGTATCGTAATTGTCTGTCTTTTTTTTTAACCTGCCTCGAATAGCATTAAGCTACTTGCAGGTAAAAAGTGTAGTCATAAGTGTAATGATTCAAGCCAATATATGTCAATTGAAAACCGCAGTAACTTATCTTTTTCTGTAGTGATGGATCCTYATAAAACACTCCTGCAAGTTTATTAAACAGTACATMAAGTGTGTGAATAAAATTGAATTGAATTTCATCCTGTGCATTAATTTTTTTTCCATTCTCACCAGAATTATTAACAACCCTGGATTGTGTGCGATCACAAACAGCCATCACAAAGAACGCCTACCACGTCCAAGAACCCTACACTCATGAACTTCACAAAGATTTCCAGGAATTATACTCAGTTTATCAGGAAGAGAACATTACCGATCAATTCCAGTCAGATTCGAGGCTTATTTTGGACGTCTATCGAAGTGCAGGCTTCAGTGACTATTTTCTGCGGAGTCTAGAGTCGTCTATCTCGCTCGTGTCTCAAGGACAATCGAGAATATCAAAGGAACAATTCGTTTGTGAGAGCAATGGACTTAATTTATTTTCGAGAGGAAACATGACATAATACTAGAGCARAATCAATACTATAAACATAAGTATTTCCCCTGGCATTCAATGCCACCTCTTTTTAGAAACGCCAATACTAAATCTTCAAGAAATAGCTCGGGTGCTAGAATACCTGGATTTAGAAAGAACGAACAAATTACCGCCGTTTGCATTACTACGTGGCCACCCCAGACACAAATCGCATCGTATAGTTTGCAATAGACTGCCGTCAATCAAACGCCTCATTCTACTTGGATGTACTCAAACTCTTTGCAATCGCTTTCGGAACTTTCCTTCGTGATATCTGACTGAGAAAGTTTGATAGAAAAGCCAACTCACTGATCCAAACGTGTATAAATGGCGTCAACATGAATGATTGACGGTAGTCTATTGCAAACTACACGACTYGATTTGTGTCTGGGGTGGCCGCGTAGTAATGCAAACGGCGGTAAATGATTCAGATGAGAATATTGTCGGAGGTAAAGTGGTTTAGCGTTTGAGTATACCGTTACCGTGACGGCGCTGGTAATTGGGAGTTTATTGGATGAGCACCGATCTGGCGTGCCGTTATACGATCATAAAATTAATGACGTTAAATTGTTTTTGACTATGATATATTTCAGAGGTTTTACACTCATGACTTAAAAAACAAATTCAAACACAGAGCAATTGCCCTATTTCACTATGACGTCACTGCTTGTTTATGTGGGGGATAGAATCGCCAAATCCAATAGAAAATTCAACAAAATTTGCCGTAAATCTAGGAGTCCTAGCGAAACAGTTTAATCTAAAATGGCCTGGTTTTCAGATATAATATGTGCTAATATGTACTAAGAAAAATTATGAGCGTTTGCTGGCTATTCTACTTCTCTTCGTGGATTGATACGGGTTTTAGAACAATTTTCGGTGAATTTGCGTTGATTTGACCCCCTCCGACGACCATGATCCTTTGCGTTTAAACAATAGATTGTTTTGATGTGACRTCATAGTGAAATAGGGCAATTACACGTCAGACGTGTTATAGGTCAAGCAATAAAATTGTTCTATTTTGAACAAAGGCTGTGTTTTCACTAGGACAATTTAAACTAGCTTAATTACGACACCGGAAATAAGGCAAAGTTAAACTACCTAGCAAGATGGTTTAAGTTGTCCTACCAAATAAATGGGCCAATCACAGTGTTATTCTTGAAAGGTGGGAGTCGGATTAAAACACCTCCAGGAATTTTACGCAAGTTAACATTTCTAGTGAAAACACAGCCACAATATTTTTTGTACAGAATTATTGCACCTGGCAAAGCAGAAGCYGTTAGGGTTGTCACGTCTAGTCACGCAACATACAGAAGACCTCGATTATGTAACTAAGAGCGAATACAAAAAAGATGAAGGCGACACATTTATCACCTTTACCCACAAAAGAAAGACAAACACACGAAACTCTTTATATTTTCCTTCATCGTTTCGTTGTTCCCCTGGCAATATGGCCGCCGTAAGTATCGTCGAGAGTAGTCCATTGTACACTATTGTCAATGGAAAGGGCGTTTAGAGGCAACCCAGAACCTCCTTGATATACCCCTGTTTAGTGCGATACTATTGTAACTTACTTTGTTACCGTTGCCGTGCTACATAAACTCAGTAATAGGCCCTTAAATAATAGGCAGTTAACGGTCACGTGTCTGTACTGGAATGCAAAATTTTTGTTTTTATATTAAATTGGTGGTTCTTTTTAGSTACTTGTAAAGAACTGAATGAAATGATGTGTAACCAGTGTTACGAAATGTAGTTTTATTACGATTTCTCGAAAACGGTTGTAGAAAGTTTGCTTGCTCACCAGTAAATTCCACCCATGGGAATCAAGATGTTCATTAATTGCTCTTAGTGAATTAATCAGCACGTGATTACTGAGCTGCAAAGGGCCTATTGGCTTAGCAGACCCAACTCTTCTCTCTATGCTGATCATGTATGTTCTTACCACTTGTGCAGAGGTGATGCATTTTATCGATGCTCTGTAAAAACCTCTGGGCTAGGCCCACGGCTAACTCATATGTTGAATTGGGATTTTGAGGAACGAGGAAAACCGGGGACCCTAAGAGGGACGGGAGAGACCCAACACACACCTAGTCAATGGTCTACAAGTCTGAGAATCGAATCCAAGACAGGCGAGTTGACACTACTTTAACCTAGATTCCATGAGGAATGGAGTTCGGCAAAAAGAGGTTAACTCTGACGTCCATTTATGAAATAGGTCAACTAAAACTATTAAGTGGCTTCTCTTTTGTAGAAGCTTTCGATATGCATGGATAGTATTAGAGTCCATTCTCAATAATAGAATACAATATATTTGAAGATTCTATGACATTCTACATAGACCCCTTGCAGCACTTTGGAATGCAGCTTAATCTGGGGGTCAAAATAATAGGTTCCAATCCTCTGGAGATTGGAATTCTTTCGTTTTGTCTCCCAGTTCGAGCTGCTTTGACGTCACATGCAAGGGGACTATAGAGGCTTTGCACCATCACGTGATCGGCCACCCAATGGTAGGAGGCACAGCGATAGTCTTTCTTCTCAGGGAACCTGAATTCTTTCTCATGTTAATCAGATTAGTCGAGATTCAATAGGACGTTTGCACGATGACGTCGATGACCTCTACTACCATGAARAAAAATTCGCAAACCATCTTGGTWGTGGGTCAAATRAYKTCATCATGTAAACGTCCTATTGGTCCTGCCTCCTGTCATGGCTGCCACCACGTGATGGTGCAAAGCCTCTATTGATTATATATAAAAATACACTATAAATTCGCTAGTAATATAGCACCAAAATGATTTTACTTGGCCCATTTAACAAAGTTTAAGGGCAGATCCAGGATTTTCTAAGAGGGGATTCTTCGTTCAAGTTMAAGGGCCATTCATCTGTAAGACACCGAACCAAAAAAATAAAAATATAAAACGAGACAAAAAGAAAAGGAAAAGAAAATGAAAAGAAAAAAAGAAATAAAAAAGAAGCGAACAGTATATAAGGCGAAATCGAGATTCTCATACGGCGTTTCCAAGCCCCAAACCATTCCTCTGCATCCGACCCTGAAGTTCCATTGATTAGAGACTTTTACAAATAGTCAAGGTAAAAGAAAAGAAAAACTATGGAACTAGAGTTCATTAAAATGTAGTCATCGTTATTTTACGGGCCAAGTAAAATCCATCTACAGGTACTATGTACAAACTGTAGAAGGTATAGGTTTAATAATTGCATGAGATTATGTATGGTACTATTCTGCTAATTAAATTATTAATTATTCGCAGGAGGTAATAATTGTCGTGGAATATTTAGCATTTTCCAACTCGCACAACGATGCAGAAATACAATCGAATTCTACTTCCGCAGCGTTTGGCGTAAGGTTCCAGTTGGCGTCGCTGTCGAAGACTTTGCAAATCGTAAATTCCCCAGCGTGAACACGACCTGCAACTTCGCGGGCAAAGGCGTAGTTTTTTAGCCGACTTTCTCTTGTGTTACCATTCGCCGTAATTTGGCATTTAGGATTAGCTTTCCCAATTACATTAAATTTGTTACGTCAGATATTAGCTTTGGCTACGTAAGATATTCTAGTTATAAGCAATGATATCGAGTTTATCAAGTCACGTGATCATAGAAAGTAGACTTATCCTAACAAAAAAATTGTGCTTAATTACTAAAAGCACAGGGAGCCCGAACGATCATAAGCGCAAACCATAAGCCCAAAACACTAGCGTTTACAAGATTTTACAGAGTTTCCAACCATGCGCAATGGTTGAGATTAGCTAGTTTTGAGGTCCGGAAATAAAAACACAGGCAACCCAAATACAAATGTTAGGGTTATTCTCGTTTCCAGAGCCTGCGCTGATGCCAACCAGCGGCAAAGGCGCAGGCTGTGGGAACGAAAATKGGTTGCSGCAATCTCGTACCCAGAGCCCACGTTCCTCTTGRGCAGCACTAACAAAGAGGAACGTTGGCTCTGGGTACGAGATTGGGGTTGCGGAGATGATAAAAAYACAGGGAACCCGATGCGATCACATGTTCAGAACCTTTCCAGGATTCATGAGGTTCTTTGGATCCAGGGTTCTTTTAACGCTCTTCATTACTTCGATTCCTGTAGGTCCAATTTCTTCCTCRAGTAAAATGTGTTTTCCATTTCCAATACCGTGTTCCCCTGTGCATGTTCCTCCCAGGGCTAGAGCTCGTCTGAAATAATAAAACAGTACCAAGGAAATAATTARCACTCCGGGATTTACGATCAATGATGGTAAATGGACTACTTCGACGATACGGCGGCCATCTTGGAATCGCAAAGCATTATGGGGCGTCCAGGAGGCGAATAAAGCCTGGCTATTAAGCTTCCAGCCTCTAATACTATATATCTATACGACATATACCTTTGAACATTTTTCTTACTACTACTACTAATGGTAATAATTTAATTATTTATATTGCGTAAATTAGGAGGATGAAGGGTGGTCAAATACGCATTGCGATAATTATGCTAACTTCACAATAAAAGTGAMTAATAACYRATTAGTAATAAWATATATGGACTGAATAAAACAAATAAWTAAATCCTAWGTTGATTAAAATCCGATTASATAAAATRTAAACATAAAAATCTAGTAAATAGCCATAGGCTTGCCTAAAAAGATACGTCTTAAGATGAGATTTGAATTTCTCAATTGACTGGATCAGACTGGTAAAGAATTATGAGYGGGTAACGTACGGTACTGACTTACARCACGTACACGGTGCGCTATGGTGTAACACTTCCATTGTTTTTTTTTTCTTTTACATAGTCTAAACACCTAAGCCGTGTGACACGCATTAWCATACTCTTTCTATTATTCCTATACAATTCATCGTATCAAAACACGTGGACACGAAAAGTTAAAAACAAAAAACACGGCAAATGTCTAGTAAGGCAACAAGGTTATCGTATTTTTCATTGCTCATACGTAAAGACTATGTTCGCTTTACTACCTTCCAAGTCGATCTGAAAAAGCTTTGACTTTATTTGCTTCCTCCTTGTTAACAGRATCATAAATCGCGTTACAATGGAAGTTCCCATCCCCGATGTGTCCCACAATGGGAGCTGCAAGGGAATTCATAAAGAAAACCTTCAGAATGAGATCTGCATTACCTTCCGAGACGAAGGGTAAAGTCCTTAGCATTCTTTATCTCTTCTTTGCTGGACGTATCGATAATGATGAAGCAGTGGAAGTTGCCGTCTCCGACATGGCCTACGATTGGTGCTTCAAGACAAATATAAAAACTGATTATAAAATCAAAAGTGCACGCACTAAACCCGTGAATAATATTTAGTACTAATTAGTAGTAATTCATACACAATCCTTTGTTTCCTATTGTTTGATTATCACTATTAAGTACTAAAAATTAGTATTTGTTTCACGGGTTCAGTGCGAGCACTCTATTTCCGTGAATTTTTAACAAATGAATGGATGAATGGATGAATGGAAGACACAGCACGCGTGCGCACTTTCAGTTGCGTAAGTCCTATCCAAAAAAAAAAAAACGATTATTCTAAATTCTATTTTATAAAAGGAATAAAACTTGCTTGCTGTGCTGTGTGCAGTTATAAAGCACTTGGGGATTGGCAGAACACTCGAGAAATGTTGAGAAGCACTCCGCTACGTGTCGTACTTCTCCTTACACTTCTCTCGTGTTCTGCCAACCCCCGCGTGCTTTATAACTGCACACAGCACGTGCGCACGTTTTCTATTTCTTAAATAGAATACTCTCTGGTTGATAAGACATGACGGGCAGTGTTTGCCTGTCATTGTAAGCTAGCAATGAGATGTATACGGCTGATTGATACCAATAAATGGAATATACTTACTGGTGAATAGCACATGACTATTTTATGACTGGTATAGGTTTTGAACTATAACTCACCTATCAGGCCAGATGCAATAATATCTTCCTTAGTTGCTACGATAATCTCTGGTAGTCTAGATATTGGTACACAGACATCAGTGGAAACACCCTGACAGGTAAGAGAAATGATTCAGGATCAAGGCAGGAAAAATAGTTAGCTACTGTCGTGATTTTGTACAATCATGTGTAAAATGAATAAATAATTCCAGCAGTTGTATGGAATGGTTGGTCGATGGATAAATGGATGGATAAAAGGATAGATGAATGGTTGG